TCTTCATCAATAATGGCACCATGGTACTGCCAGGTATCCAAACAGAAAAGCTGCAAATCATTCTCATTTCTAACATTAACCTATAATAAATTTCCCCCTTGCTACTTCCTCTAAAAATAATCGTAATGCCATTTAGTCATTTTATGTATGGCATTAATGGCATAGAGGAGCTCACAACCTTAACATAACTAATATTTTGTGCTTGATCATTGTCATTAGATGTCCTGTACACAGTTGGGTACTTAATGGATACCAGTTAACACCCAACTGTGACAACCAAAAATGTCATCAGACAATGCCAAATTTCCCCCTAAGATCCATAGCCCTAAAGCATCTGTCATTGCCTTTTGCATCTATAGGCAACCAAGTCTCTTATACACTCATACGTACATATGGGGCCATATGTTTAGAGGCCATTTCACTGCCAATACTGTGTTCTTGTTCATTTTCAATGTGTCGAACATCTTCGAGAATTTTCTATAGTGCTGGTTTTGTGGAGATACATTGTTTCAAAGGAGGGCCTTTTGTATATTTGGGAAGTTCTCTGCTAGAATTCTGTTAAATATATTTTCTACTCCATTAGCTTCCTTCTCTAGGCCTTCCTTAATACCTATTAAACTTAAATTAGGCTTCCTGATTGTATCTTGGAGCTCCTGAAGAGATGTCTTGTTTCTTCTATTTGTTTTGAATAATTTTCTGTTCTTTCTCTATAAAGTCAATTCCAGAGATTCGATTTTCTTCATCTAACCTGCTATCAAGACTTTCTACTTTGTCTTTTAGCTCTCTTCCTTCTTTTTGATGGTTTCCATCTCTGTTGAAATTTGACTTAGGTCTTGAATGGTCTTCTTTATCTCCTGGGCGGGGCTTCCCCTCCTAGGCAGGGCCACCGCCCCCCAGGCCAAGTCGACTCCCCGAGGTCAGATTCCTTTGCCCTCTTCAAAAATGGCACCCAGGTCACGCGAGTTACCTGCCAGCAGCCGCTCTGGTAGGGTCTCTGCCAGTATCAAAGATGGCGGCGCTCCACCGAGGCGTTGGGGAAAGGGCTGATCTGTGAGGAGGGGTGGTGGGGACGTCTGTGGGTGCTCACGCTTTCCCTCGGTTTCCCGGACGCCCACGATCTGCGTCCGTGTGTGGCCGGCAGGGTGAAGATTTCCGCTCCCAGTCACCCACCAGGTTGCGCTTGCGGGGCAGGAGTGACAGCCGCGTGCACATCTCTGGCGCCTTTGCCCGGTGGTTTGTCCTGCGCTGCCGCTCAGGCCGGTGAGAAAAGCTCACTCCCCTAACCGCGCGGCCAGGCCGAGAGGGTAGGCCACGCTGGGATCCGGGTTTATGTAGGGCAGGGGGGCGGGAACGGCAGGGGAAAGGCGTGGCCAGGGGCGTGGCCAAGGGGAAGGTGGGGCCAATGGGGCGGGAGCAGGGCCATGCCGGATACGGATGTGACCTCAGAGAAGGGGGCGGGAACGGCCGCCCTGTGAGCCAGTTACCCTAGGTAAGGCAGGTGCTGGGTGGAGACTGAACCAGGAGGAGGAAGGACCTTACAGGTGCTTGGGGAGAGCTCAGTCAGACCCCAGTTGCACCCCTGCCATCTTCCTCTGCCCTCTCCGAGTTTTTTGAATAGACATTGTAGAAACTTTTTTAAAGTTCTAATGTCTTCATTGAAAGTTCTGCTGTCTTCATTCTAACATCTGGATTTTGTGAGGTCGTATTCTGTGTACTAAAGGAATGTGAGCCGAGCTGTAGCTTTAGTATTATGTTCTCAAAGTACCATCCTGATGTCCATGTGATAAATGAAGTAAATTAGGTAAATTGGGCCATAATGTCAAACACAACGAACTATGGTAAATTATAGACAGATGAGAGATGATGGCAGTGGCAACACTATAGTCCATAAACAGACGTGGGGTTCTTAACTGTCCAGTCTTGAGAATACATTGAAGGAGAAGAGGAGGAGAAAAGAGAAAATTAACAGATAAACCCATGACTATTGTATTTGCTTAGATAGTAACAGAGGAAGGAAAAAGCTCAGAAAGGGTGCCAAACCAAGAGCCCCCTTTGTGTTCCTGTTGAATGTGAGATGTCTGTTGGCATGTCTGTTGAATAAGCACTTGTCTTGAGTTCAGGGCTGAGGGTGCACATGACATCAGTTTGAAAGAAACGTAACAGAGTGTAGTTAAAGCCACAGGTGTGAGGACTGAATCCTTGTGTGCTAAAATGGTGATAGGTTTGGGAGGACAAGAGAACACGGGAAAAGAACCTGAAAATGAAGTAGAAGGGAAAATATGAGAGCGGTATGCAAGAGATGGAATGGAGAATAGGGGGTGATTAAAATAAAAAAGCAACCCGTTTGTTAAATGTTCTTTCACTTAGAAAAACGAGAATTGTTTGTTGTGCTTTTCCACTGAGATTTGGGAGTTTGTTTTTGCAGTATATTAACATATTAATCAATACAATCTAACTTCTTGAAGTGCTTGTAGTTTAAATTCTGAAACTATGTGCTTAACTTTTAATTAGCTAAGCTTCTCACAGTGCTGAGATCATTTCATTCTGGCACTTTCTCCACAATAACGAGTGCATCCGTCAGCACGGTGATAGTCTAGCTGTCACTGGGTTCTTATTCACTAACTCCTTCCAATAATATTTATAAAAGTCACCCTAGTCATCACTCTGATAATTAAATTCTTGATAAGAGTAATTTGTCAGGGAAATGGACCTCATGTCACTCTTCTTTAGCGATGGGCTCCATGACACACATCTGGCCCTCCATAAAGTTGAGTGTGTCCATCAAAAAGCTATTTTATTAATGCAATTTGATATGCTATTACCACAGAGCTACTCCATTAAATTAGGTTGTCAAAGGCTAGCCTCAGGATGCACAGAGTATGTGACACATGGTTTAGCAAAATCAAAAGCCTATTTCAAAAATCTGAATGGAACAAGTTCAGGGCCACCATAAATGGTGGTACAATTGCAAAGGTACTTATTGAGGGTGCCCTGAAACCCATGGCCATCTTTAATCCTTGCTAACCTAGAAGATCTCAGTGGAATGGAAGGGACACTTATATGATTAGTCTTTATGGAGAAGCTTCTCTTTGGAAATCAGTCTAGATTATTAGAACAAATTACACGTCTGCATATGGACAGCCTTGCAGTGGAATGTTATCAACAAAAATATCCTTTGAGATTTGATGGGTAGGTAAGTTATACATGCATTCCCTCAAATTTCACAACGACCAAGAAATTTCCAGTCATTTGGGTATTAGGCCAAAGGACAGTGAGAAGGTTATATTAAAGCAGGGTGGCTCTCACCTGACAGCACATTTCCTTGCTGGGTTTATCCGGTCCTGTCTAGAAATATTTTTGGTTGCCCTGATTGAAGGTCAGTGGGCATAAGCCATCTAGTGAGGTCACTCACCAAGGATGACACTAAACACCGTTTGCATGTACCCAGGGCCCTCTGGGAAATAAATGTATTTAAAAAAAAATCAGCAGTGGCAGCTGAGAAATCCTGCTTTAAGAGTTATCACTCGCTGGTGGCCCCTATAATCCTAGCTACTCAGAAGGCTGACATTTGAGGATCACAGTTAGAAGCCAGCCCTGGCAGGAAAATCCTTGGGGCTCTATCTCCAATTAACTACCCCCAAAAAAGCCAGAAGTGCAGCTGTGGCTCAAGTGGTAGCATGCTAGCCTTGAGCAAAAAAGCTCAGGGACAGTGCCTAGGCCCCGAGTTCAAGCCCCAGGACTGGTACAAAAAGGTCTTAAGAAAAGGTCTTCCTGGGGTTGGGAAGGTGGCTCAGTGGTAGAGCGCTTGCCTTGCATGCATGTGGCCCTGAGTTCGATTCCTCAGCACCACATAAGCAGGGAAAAAACCCAGAAGTGATGCTGTGACTCAAGTGGTAGAGCGCTAGCCTTGAGCTGAAGAGCTGAGGGACAGCGCCCAGGCCCGGAGTTCAGGCCCCACGACCGGACCCCCCAAAAAGAAAAGGTCTTCCTTCTGCCAGGTGCGTGGCTCCAGGTTTATTCTTAGCTGCTCAGAGAGCTGAGATCTCAGGATCTTGGATGAAGGAATGTCCGCGAGACTCATCTCCTATTAACCAGAAGAAACAACAGAAAGTCAGAAGTAGAGCCATGGCTCAAGTGGAGAGAAGAAAACTAAGGGACAGCGCCAGGCTCTGAATCCAAGTCCCAGGACCCCCAGCCCCCTCCCCTGTCCCCAGCCCCCTCCCCTGCCCCCCAGCCCCCTCCCCTGCCCCCCAGCCCCCTCCCCTGCCCCCCAGCCCCCTCCCCTGCCCCCCCAGCCCCCTCCCCCGCCCGGGTATTGGAAGGGAGCATCTCCAAGGGAGCATCTCCACACCTCAAAGCGAGGATGCTGCGCGTGGGAATCGGTTAATGGGAACCCGGGCGGTTGAACTCGGCTCTGCTCATTCCAGTTTATTATCCCGTGCAGGCGGATCAGCAGGTCATCTTTTTCTCTCATTGAAAACCCGAAAGGTTACTGGGATGGGAAGTTTTCGTTTTAAGATCTTTCTGTATGTGCCGTTCCTTTCCCAGTCCTTCTAGAACCTAAGCTGAGATCGCGGAAGGCCGGAGACCGCCGCTGCGCCGCTGTGGGCGCTGCGCTGCGTGGGACTGAACAGGAAATCCTGGCGTTGCCCATCCGGGCTGGTCACCCTCGAGGCGAACAGGTGGCTCGTCCCGGGGGGTCATCCCGGCCGCCGGGTGTCCCCGGTCCTCCGAGCGCGGTCCTCCCAGCGCCGCCGACAGAGGGAGGGCGAGGGCCGCGCTCCGCCGCCCGGGCCGTCCGGAGGGGGAGGGCGGCGGGCGCGCGCTCCGCCCAGGCCCGCGCACCCGGGCCTCGCCCGCCGCCGCCTCCGCCTGCGCCGGGGCGGGGAGAGCTGGGGACCGCGGCCTGGGGACCGCCCCTGCCCGGGCGGGCGGCCGGCGGAGGCGGGGCGGCGGCGGCGGCGGCGTCCGCGCCCGGGGCCCCGCGCTCGCTCGCACACGCGCTCGGGAGGAACATGGCGGCGCCGGAGCCGGGCGCCCCGGTGCTGGGCGGCGCGGGGACGCCGTCGGGCGCGGTCCCGGTGCTCTTCTGCTTCTCGGTCTTCGCGCGGCCGTCCTCCGTGCCGCACGGCGCGGGCCACGAGCTGCTGATCCAGAAGTTCCTCAGCCTGTACGGGGACCAGGTGGACGCGCACCGCAAGTTCGTGGTGCAGCTCTTCGCCGAGGAGTGGGGCCAGTACGTGGACCTGCCCAAGGGCTTCGCCGTCAGCGGCCGCTGCCGCCTGCGCCTCGTGCCGCTGCAGGTCCAGGTGGGTCCGCGCCGGGCCCGGTGCCCCGGCCTCCCGCGCCCCCGGCTCCCCGGCCCCGCGTCCCCGCGTCCCCGCCCGGCGCGCTCCTCAGGTGCCGCCGCCGCCCTCGCCGGGGCGGATCCGCGAGTCGGCCCGGCCCGATCCCCGGCGGCCTCCGCGTGCGCTCCCGGGCCGTGCGCCCCCCGCCCGCCCGCCCGCCCGCCCGCCTCCGCGGGCCGCGCGGCCGGCACCGAGGTGTCGGAGGAGCGACCCGGGGAGCCCGGCCCCGCGCGTCCCCGGAGTTGCGTTCACCACCTCAGAAAGGTGCAAAGTTTGCCGAGCCTTTCCTCCTCCCGGATCCTGAGCCTCGAGTGAAAGCACCCAGTAGCCAGCCGCCCCCTCGCCCCCGGCCAGCCGCCGAGCCCTGTCCGAGACATCCTGGGAGGCGCCGGCTTAGCCCCCCGCTCGAGCTAGACCCTGGCAAAAGTTAGCCTTGCGCATTGCCGAATCCGTCTTGACGTTGTTGGGAGCGGGGCGCTGATCACTGGGGGAGGCATTCTCTTCCTGAAGAGCAGAGGACTCGCTTGAGAATTTATAATTTCGGAAGAAAATATACGGTGCCATTTAGCCGCGACCCCCTCTGCGTTGGTCTTGAGCCCTCGCACTGCTGAGACAAACCTTGGGAAGCCCAAAGCGCCATGTGGGATTTGAGATCAGCAGGGAGTTTAAATCAAGGGCTATTTTCTCTTTTCCATTTCTTTCCTCTTCCTCTTTTTTCTGCTTTACTTAGGTTTAAAATCAGGGCCTCTTCCACCAAGTGCCATTTTCTGAGGATCCCGCTCTAGGTTTTTATCAGCCTGGTTGCAGGCGGAATGGGCGGTGTTTCCAGTCCGCCCAGTTCCTATGCCAGCATCATCCCCGGCAGATCATTTACCCTGGATAAAGTTAGGTTCAGAAGACAAAGTTCATTCCACTGTCCCCTGAAAGAGCCCAAAGGGTAGAGTGATCTGATACCTCAGGATTTCCCCTGCTGCCTACATAGAAAATCGCTTTCTTTGGTGCTTAGGATTCCCTGTATGTTTACTTGTGTTTTGAGACACTCCCTCACTATGCAGCTGTCCTTGAACTTCCTTCCTTCCTGCCTCTGCCTCCTCTGTTTGCTGGGATTACAGGCAGGAGTCTTCATGTTTATGTCTTTGTGTGTCTCATGGCTGACATCACTCTCCAGCCTGGCCTGTCAGTCTATTTAGATTACTGCTGCCAAAAACCCCATGTTGGATGCATTTTGACAAATCCATTTACAAAGGTCAGTGTGCATATTTTGCAAAGGTCTGGAGCTCTTCTGAAGATCCAGAGTTAGTAAAGTGTTTCCTGATATCTTTGGAAGAAACAATGAGCCCCCACCTAAATCAGTGCTATGTTAAATTAGCTCCTCTCATCCTAAGTTGTTGGGTTTTTTTTTTTTTTCACTTCCCAAGGTAAGATTTTTATATTTTGAAAATTTCAAGGTCTGCCAACTTGAATTAAACACTCTGAAAGTTAATAATGTAAATGGATATGCTGGAAATGACTTAGACATAAAATGCAATGAAGAACTCAGGTCACTTAAAGCTTTTGAAATATTTTATGTACAATCAGTTTTCGTAGTTATATTTGAAATAACAATAGCATTGTTCTTTTCACCCATTAAGAACTGTTATTTTTCCATTAAATAGCGAGGAATTATGAAGCTCATCAGTTACATATGTTTATTTAAGAACAATTTTTGGTGGTATTAGAGTTTGAGCCAAGGTCTTGTGTTTGCTACTACCTGAGCCACACCTCCAGTCTGTTTTGCTTTTAGGTTACTTTTCTGGTGAGGGTCTCCTGTTTTTTTTGTCTGGGACTGGTCTGAGACCACAACTCTCCTACCTATATGCCTTATAGGTGTGAACAACTTTACCAGGTCTATGGTTATGCTTTATATTTTTGAAATATGTAAAATATTTTTACATCATCTTGTTTTACTAATCATACGCTTTGACTATTTCAAATAAGTGTCTCTCCTAGCATTAAGTAGATAATATAAAGGAATACTATACGTAGATATATATATAGCAAGTGCCAAATATAGATACCTTTGATAACTTCTCATGTTTATGAGTGCTCTTTCTGTCTGTCTCTGTCTCTCTCTCTGTCTCTCTCTCTCTCTCTCTCTCACACACACACACACACACACACACAAATATGTGTGGGGATCTACTCCTAGAAGAGACAGTATTTCTTTTTATGACTACTGTGTTTTCTGGAACCCATCTGTGTAATTCCAGTGACATTTTATGGCTAGAAGAGATGGTAGAGTTCATTCCACAGGCATTTAAGTGACAGCTTTAAGTACATGGCACAAAGGATGCAAATCTGGATTCCGTTCTTGTCCCTTACCTTGTCATCCTAATTCACTTCCCAGAAGAGCAGAGCGTTGAGAGAGAGAGGCTAGAAAACAGCTCCATGGATAGAGCTAGCAGTTCACCTCTGTGGTAGCCTTCCTGTTTTCTTTCCTTTTTATTTATTTACTTTAATGAGAATATTGAACAGTCTGTAATTGCCTAATGAGAATATCGAACAATCTGTAAAACAATTCATAAACTTGAGCTTTTGTTTGTTCATCTCCCTTGATGCTGCTTTTTTAAAAAATAAAAACCTGCCACTCAGAATGTCTCAAGGTAGCTATTTGGATACTGGGGATATAGGCCTCTTCAAAGCAGGACAAAGAACTTGCCATAAGGAGTCTCCTGCTTAAATAGTGTGATTTATTATTTATCCACAGTGTAGGCCCTGAAGCCTCTTGGCCTTGGCTCACGCACAGTTCTGCTGGAATGTGCTCGCATTTTCTAGGGGTCTGAGTCTACCTTCATGCTTGCTGCGACTGCTGCGGCAGTTGACCTTTGAAATGCTGCACCTGGGTTGGTGGTGGTAACTTCCTCTCTGGTGGATCTTTTCCTTAAACATTCTGTCAGAGTGGCTGTCTACTGACGTCTCAGGTAGCTGAAGACATAGCTTGTGTTCATGCATGGTTTGTGTGTAGGCAGCAGCTTTGTCACATGCTTGAAGTCTGATGGATGTAGAGACATAGGAGGGAATGTAAATGAGAGGATTATATAGTGAGAATTTAGGTCATTTTATGAAACTTGCACTTTTTTTTTTTTTTGCCAATCCTGGGGCTTGAACTCAGGCCACTTCTGGCTTTTTGTTTATGTGGTACTAAGGAATGGAACCCAGGGCTTCATGCATGCTAGGCAAGCACTCTATCACTAAACCACATTCCCAGCCTGATACTTAGACATTTTTAATTTTTCAAAAGGCATTTCCCAAGTTCTAGCTAATAGAAACATGGAACCCTGGAAACTCTTGTAAATCAGATGACATTCCTTCACAAGTGTATTTTTTCCCCTGTCTTTGACCTGGGAAGGCTTTGCCGAAGCAGAATACAGAGGGTGAAGGATGGCGTGGGAAGGACTTGGAAGAGAGGGCATTAGGAGCTCTGTGTGGGCAGGAGGTAAGGGCTTCCCTGAGAGAAGGTTACTTTGACCTTCACCCAGGCTGGTTAATTGAGAAGGGATTTGGATTGAGCTTTCATGATCTTGAAAGTTTTTTAAACTGGGCACAGACATTTTACCACTGGGAGAGAAGAGCTAGAATGATGTGAAGGAAGGAAAGGCAGAGCTTAGAAAGGAGAAAGAAAGGAGTTGGCTCTGCCTTTGACTTGCTGGGTTTTGATCGTAGGAGCTTAGAAGGACGAACAGTTATAGCTCAGAAATTGGGGTGGAGAGACAGGCAGTACACATCTGGAGATAAGGTACTCTTAGCCACTGAGAAGCTGGACCCAAGGCATGACATGGTCTCCAACCCATCAGCTTGATTCTGGTAGGAGGGACACTTAAAATCTAACATTCCAGGATAATTCCAGGATAACCATTGTATGCTATTTGTTCCTTGGGAATATATTAGAGGTTACCAATAAATAAACTGTTTGAGCAGGGAAGCTATGGCCTCCATTTTTTTCCTTTCACTTAGTTAGGCAAGAGGAATCCAAATGTAGATTTAAATGTCACTGTGTTTTGCGCTCAGTCCGACTTCACATCCTTCCCATCGGCAGCCTGAGCTTAAACTCTGTGGCGGGGTACAGACAGCTGCTTCTCTAACTCTGAGGAGTGAGCTCAGATTTTAACCAGCAAACTAGGGAGTCATATTAGAAGCCTGTGCCATCAGTGTTTGCGGTAGGTGAATGTATTACAAAAATTAGTGACATCTTCTTCTAGAATCTAGATGAAACTGAGAGGCCCAAAAAGATTTGGCTAGGACCGAATCATATAATGGTAACTCTTTTTGTCCACATCTGGAAATTCACTTTATGAATCACTTTTCTAATTTTGCTGGATGTTAAGTTTGAGCAGTATTGGGGTGTGTATGTATGTATGGATATGTGTGCATGTGTCACATTAGTTTCTCAAGGAATATTAGTTAACCTCACTAGAAAGTTTTTTAAAATACAAACTGCTGAATGTAGAGTGTAGTATTTCATAGGATATCATGACAGGCTAACATATTTATTGAGGGACTATATATATGTGGCTTGTTTCATCATTGAAATAGCCCTGTGAGGCATAAGTACTGTTTTACTTACTGTTTCATAGATAGGGGAATTGCATTTAGAGATGTTAAGTTCACATAACTAAGATAAAGGAATTTGAAATTTGGACTCAGATTCTAATTCTTGTGGGTTCATGTGTCAGGAACCCTTGTTGGCTCGTTTATATCATGCCTCTTTTAAATTAGTCGGTGCTGAAGCAAGGCCTTCCTATAGCTGTGGAAATCAGATTGGTAGTTCTGGAGACAAGAGTTTAAGATGGAGGTGTCAGGGTGTCAGCAGGTTTTGTTTCTTCTGAGGACTGTGAGGAAAATCTGCTCCTTGTTTCTCTCTGGTTTGTGGGTTTTGGTAGTCTCTGGCGTTCCTTGGCTTGCAGACACACCACCCCTCTCCACCTTCACGTATCTGTGTGTGTCTCTCACTGAAATTCCCCTTTCTATCAGGACATTGGTCATACAATCTTAAGTAACCTTAACCTTGCTGCAGAGATGTTATTTCTATCAAAGGTTGTTTTATTAGGTACTAGGAAGTAGGACGTTAGTGTATGAATTTTGGGGAACACCATTTCTACACTATGACACTTTCCTTGCATTTAATTTTTTTTTGGGGGGGGGGGTCCGGTCGTGGGGCCTGAACTCTGGGCCTGGGCGCTGTCCTGCAGCTCTTCAGCTCAAGGCTAGCACTCCACCACTTGAGCCACAGCGCCACTTCCAGCTTTTTTCTTTTTGCTTATGTGGAGCTGAGGAATCGAACCCAGGGCCTCATGCATGCAAGGCAAGCGCTCTACCACTGAGCCACCTTCCCAGCCCCACCTTGCATTTAATTTTGTGGAGGGTGAGAACTGGTATCAAATATGTCATTGAGTTAGACCAGCTACATTGTGTCTTCCTGAGTAAGGGACAGATTCATTTTATTTTTGCAGTCATCTTTGGGAAGTGGTCAGAACACAGAAGGTGGCTCACACTTGCATAGTTACATGGGCAGCTGAGACAGGAAGGACTCCTGGCCATTCCTGGATAAAAAAGACTCAAAGAATTTGTCTCAGTAGAAGCTTGGCACCCTGGTGCACACCTGTCAACCTAGCTACAGCGGGAAGCCTAAAATAGGTGGATGACAGTCTAGGCATATGCCTGGACAGGAGGGAAGACACTTTCTCAGAAATAACTAGCACAATAAATAGTTGGAAGTGTGGTAAGCAACTACCTATGGATCAGGAGGTGCTCAGTTCAAACCCCAGTCCCAGGTCTGGGGGAAAAAAAAGGAAAGAAAAGAAAAGAAAGTTAAGTATTTTCAGAGTAATAATAGTAAGGGCCTTGGGGAAGAAAAGCCTATTAAATATGAAATCAAAGATCGAAATTATGAAAATTCTAAAGATTTTATACTTGAATTTGATCTCAAACTTTGAGGAAGCTATTAAATGTGATCAACCTTTTCTATTTAAATGTATGTGTATATAAATGCAGTATTTATATGTATGCATATGAAAATATATAATACATCACATGAAGGCATGAATATACATGCACGCATATTTTTGTACATGATTTCTTCATGTTTCTGGAATATACTTTGGCTGGTCATTACATTACCCACACTTCTACTTGGGACAGTAGTTAGTCAAGTCTGCTTTTGCTATGGCAGGAGCCATTATCTCAGAGTTACAACATGTAGCATTTGACTGCTGTCAGTATTTTCAGTTATCTAATAGATTTCGATTTAAGGAAAATTCATAGATCAAAGGAAGAAGTTCTGGAATTACATAGAGTTGTAAATAGTTACAACAGCCTATTGGAATTCAAGTGAACTTGAGGTGAGGAATAGAAGATTGGATGGACAGAGCTTGGATTATTTTGGTTTGATTTTGATAGCCCCAAATTTCCTTTCTGGCTTGTAAGATTATTCATAAAGCCACATCATTTCTTCTAATCACCGTAGGATATGAAGGCCACAATTCTCATTTTAAATAGTTTATTTCAGTAGTGTATTTTAGAACACTTTTAGACTTATAATACGGCATCCAGACTCTGTACTCCTGTAGCCAGATTCCTCTCTGGTTACTGTCTTACTTTACTGTGTGCATGTGTGCAGCCATGTACCCAGCATCGGTCCATGGCTATTAAATAGACTGCACTTTATTTGGATTTTAGGAGCTTTTCCTGATGTCTTTTTTCTGTCTCCAAATCCAATACCAGATAGTGTATAGCTTTAGTGGCTGGTCCTCCTTCAGTTCTTCTGGGCTGTAACATTTTCTTTCACTTTCATTGTTTTTCATGACTCTTTGACGGTTTGAGCAGAACTGGCCAGATGTTTTGGTAGAATTCCTCATTTGGGGTGTTTGATGCTTTCCTTATGGGTAGAGTAGGGTTGTGAGATGTTCAGAGGGAGAAGGAGAAGGTCCTTTTAATCATATCATTAAGTATACATTTATCTTATCATGATGGTTCTATTAACTACAGTAGTCAGTATCAGCTACTTCAGCTTGTCAGGTTTCTCCTGTGTATAGGATAAAGTTACTGTCCTCTCTTTATACTCGTTCTTCAGCTAATTACCAAATGCAGCCATGTTTTAAGAAGTACAGAGGCCGGGCGCTGGTGGCTCACGCCTGTAATCCTAGCTACTCAGGAGGCTGAGATCTGAGGATCGCAGTTCAAAGCCAGCCTGGGCAGGAAAGACCTTGATACTCTTATCTCCAATAAACCTCTAGAAAACCGGAAATGGTGCTATAGCTCAAGTGGTAGAGCGCTTGCCTTGAGCTGAAGAGCTGAGGGACAGCACCCACGCCCAGAGTTCAAGCCCCACGACCGACCAAAAAAAAAAAAAAAGTACAGAGAATGTCTCTGTAAGATAGAATATGTTTGATTTACAGTTATAACTGGTCATCTCTGCATAAAAACACGACTTGCGATTCTGTTCTCTGGTTTCCTTCTGTATTTACTCAGAGATTATAGATGATGACTCCCTAGACCAGAAAGGTTTTGCTGGGTGCTGAGGATTTTAGGGCTGCATTGATGAGCAGATATGGAGACCTGCCTAGCTAGCTAAAGCCAAGTACAAGGAAGCATCGAGTTACAGGCGGAACCACAACTCTGAATAATTACTCAGAGGTCCTGCCTAGGTAAGAATTTATTCCTTTAAGTATGCTAACAGTACTTTGACCATCCTGAATAGCTAGAACTTCGAATGGCTGAATGGCTAGCTATGGAACCACTTTTTAGGAATGTAGGCAGAGTCAGGCAATGCAGACCATGCCTAAGAACTGCAGTTCTAGTCTACATGTCAGTGCTTGGCCCCTGCACATTCATGTAACTGGTGGCAGGTGCAATGACAGGCCCAATGAGTTCTATTACTGTGCTTTCAAGCAGACCAGTTTCAGCTAAACTGTTTTATATAGTGTGCCCTAATCACATTGGGAATGACTATACCCATAGTTCAAAGAGAACATACAGATCTGAGCCCAGATTTAATGTTTGCTGTTAGGATGCATAGTCATAAGTAGTGACTGGTTAAATAATATACCCTAATCATATGAAAAATTGATTTTCTTGGTTGTGCTTTTATATGTAGATCCGTTAATGCTTTGGAAAATGATCAAGATAGAGGCATAACTCTTGCACTAGAAAATGGAGTGAGGAGACAGCTGATGCTAGAATGCATAATCAAAGGTGCTTGAGTATTCATTTTGTCAGTACATAGTATTAGCTTGAGAGATGACTCACATTCTAAAGCTGGATTGTACCTGGTTACCGAGTCAGTAACAGCTGGAGAGTAAAGTGCTAGAGTCTCTCCGACCAGAGCACAGGGAAAATTAAGTATGAGCTGATTAGAACAGCCACCACAGTAAGAATCAACGGCTTGTTTCCATGGTTCATTTAATTCATATAGGAGCTCTTTCCACAAGCCAGCCACATACAGATAACAAGACAGAGCCAGAAGCTGTGGTGAGTAAAACACCCTGTAATTGGGACACAGACGCCTTAAGAAAATTGTTCATCTGTAGATGGCTTTGAGGGGTACAAACAGGAGAATGAGCAGGATATTTTAAAGGAAGACTAGTGAATAATGGCATTGGGTCCTTTAAGAGCTTTCTGCAAGGTGGCCAGAAAAGCACCGTGGATTTATAAGAATCTATAAAATTCTTATAAATTTTTATAAATCCCGCTAAGTTCTTATATGCGGTAGCCATGTTTGCTTTTTGGTAGATTCCCTACTGGACTCAAATAGGCAAACTACAGCAACTAATCAGAAGCTTAGAGATCTAATGCCCAACTTCCCTCTTAATTCATGGATTTTCTTGATGGTGATAACTAACATTTAAGAGTATGGGCTGGGAAGGTGGCTCAGTGGTAGAGCGCTTGCCTTGCATGCATGAGGCCCTGGGTTCGATTCCTCAGCACCACATAAGCAAAAAAGAAAAAAGCTGGAAGTGGCGCTGTGGCTCAAGTGGTAGAGTGCTAGCCTTGAGCTGAAGAGCTGAGGGACAGTGCCCAGGCCCAGAGTTCAGGCCCCACGACCGGACCCCCCCCCCCCAAAAAAAAAAAGAATAAAGATGTTATTCTGATTTTGTTAAAATTTAACTTCCTGTATTCAAAGCAAGGCAAGAGAATATCTGTGGGTATTTTTTTTTCTATAATTCAGATCATTTCTTTTAGTGATAGTTGTAGAAATTGACTTCCTGGGTCAAACATAGGAAGACAGGAAGTAAACGTCCTGGTATAACAACACCTAACTCCCTGTATTGTCTGTTTCTCCTCAGCTTACCACCCTGGGAAATCTTACACCTTCAAGCACTGTGTTCTTTTGCTGTGATATGCAGGAAAGGTTCAGACCAGCCATCAAGTATTTTGGCGATATCATCAGCGTGGGACAAAGGCTGGTATGCTTGGGTATTTGTTCCGATTTGCTGCGCATGATACATAATCACATATGTATTCAGTATATGGATAATTGTTTTTGGTTTGCTTTCTTTATTTCAGTTGCAAGGAGCCCGGATTTTAGGAATTCCAGTTATTGTAACAGAGCAGTACCCCAAAGGTCTTGGAAGTACTGTTCAAGAAATTGACTTAACAGGTGTAAAACTGGTTCTTCCAAAGACCAAGTTTTCAATGGTGTTACCAGAAGTAGAGGCAGCGTTAGCAGAGATACCTGGAGTCAGAAGTGTGGTATTATTTGGAGTAGAAGTAAGTACCTACTCTTTATGTTTTGAGCATACTACTACTTGTGGAAAACTTGGTGTTTTCAGAATGCAGTTTTGTACATAGAATGCCAGGTAGGTAGGGAGATAAGTAATTATGGAATGGCTACCTTTATTGGTGTTGATAACATGCATGGTACTGATGTAAATACTTTATAGATACCAAATCAGTGAACCCTTACAAAAACCCTATAAGCTGAGTATCCATAGTGTCCTAATATTATAAATGGGGAAATTAAAATACACAAGTACTGTGTAGCTTGGCCACGGTCAGACAGCTAGTAAGCAATTGAGCTGGATTTGAACTTACCCAGAGTCTTATGAATTAAATTGTTTTGGAACATATTGTCACTGCCAAAGGCATTTTTATTTATGTGTCATAAGATTTCATTTTAGTTACAAGTTTCTTGTAGGAAAACTCTAGAGGGTCATATAATTCATTATTCCTCAAGTATGAATTGTATACACAAACAGTTAAAGTTAATAGTGCTGATTTCAGCTGATTTATCTACTCTCTGTGAGCAGTCCTCTGGTGCTAATTTTAATGAGGTATCATCTGGTAATTCTCCAAAGCTCTTTTGACATCTGAAGATAAAGTAGGCACTGTGGCAGTTTTGAAATCTGCTTTTGTTGGTTGTATAATTTAGCTATTTATAGAAGTGTGTTTATATTTTATATTCCCTACTAATGAATTGTTATAAGTTAGTAGTCATAAAGAGGGAGTCCATGTAACTATTAACATAACAACACTATTATTAATTCAGTATTATTATATTGAGTATATACCCATTCTTGATTTTAGATGACCATACCAAAGTTCTCTATGCTGACTAAACCTAGCTAATTAGAGTTATCTAACTAATTAGAGGCAAAAGTAAATGTGAAACAAGCTGTGTTAGATTTGTAGTGCTCTTTCTGCTTTCCATGTTATATATTTACAGAGTAGTTAAAAATTAATAGGCATTTACATAGGACTTCTCATTTACCTCTGTGGTTAAGTTGTTCTAGCTTGGCCTGCCATGGATATTGGGTGCCTTGTATCTTTCTCACTCTCTAATTCAGACTCCTCTTTTTTTGTGTATTGGGCTTTGGTATTCATGCAAAAATCACCCCCAAGTAGATCTGGCACCCAAACTCAGAGTAGTCAGCTAAATGAAGGTCATTCAGAGGGCATAGACAGAAATCATTATCAATTGCCACAAAACCATTTAGAATGTGTTAAAAAAAAAATGAAGAACATGGATATAATCAAATTCCTGGTTTCCAGATGAATAAACCAAAGCCAGAGAAACTGATTTATGCTCAAACTCAGTTAGCTAATTGGAGGCAAGTCAAGTTGTAGAGAGGGTTGTTAGATCTGCAGTGCTCTCTCTGCCTTACCCTGTTGTACATTTGTAAAATACATGATCTTTCACCTTCCTGTAAGACTCACGTATGCATCCAGCAAACGGCTCTGGAGCTGGTTGGCCGAGGAGTCGAGGTCCACATTGTTGCTGATGCCACCTCCTCAAGAAGCATGATGGACAGGATGTTTGCTCTGGAGGTAAGTGTCCTGCGTGGACACGGCCAGCCCACAGGCTCAACAAAAATCACAAGTATTGAATGCTAAGCAGTGCTGAGACATTTATTTTTTATGTTTCAGCTTGATCTGACAGTGTGAGACTCATTCATTTCTAGATGTCTTTATGCCCTGAACGACTGTCAAGGTCTCACCGCATATCCTATTCTTATATTTTGTTTTCCTCCTAAAGCTAAGTTTCTAGTTATACCAAAAATTATCTTACAGGTTTTATTGTAACTTGACTCTAACTACATGAAGAGTAAGAGGTTTTTTTTTTTTGGAAGCCTAATCTGAACTGTTCAAAGATTTGCAAAGTACAAAGTTCACTTGGGTTTAAGATCTAGCCAAAAACTAGGGCAGAAAAGGCATAAGCCCGGTTCAGCTTTATGTTTGACCAGATTTGGCCAGACCGGAATTTGTGAGATTATTGTGGACACCACTCGGGCAGTGTTTCATGACTGTAGAGCTAGAGCTTCACCATGTCACACTGAGTCAGATAATCTGATTCATTCTCAATAGTACCTGAAGCACTTTCCATTCCAAGACTGTTAGAACTACCATAGAATCCTGGGAAACTTAGTCCAGTATATTTGGGTGTGTCTAGCTTTCATATTTAATTCTAATTCTGTAATACATTTAGAGTAATATACATGTTGATTTAATTGATGAGTTGTTTGTGCTTATTGAAAATGAGAAATAGACTTTTTTTTTAGCTTCTCCAGTATTCCATGTACAAGCTGTCTATAAGCTGTGCTCTGTGCTCAGGATTGCTAAATCAGCTCTGTAGCCTGAAGTGTTCTCCAGAATGGTAAAGAGGAGCAGATGACACAGGAGAGGCTGGGCAGAGGACAGGAGGAAGAGTAAAGGCCGCAGAGAGGGCTGATGGGACAGCAGGCCTCAGCTGGCACAGTAGTTTGAAGGCACTGGTCAGCCATCTGTAGGTCCTGAAGCCCATACTACAATTCCAGGTGGAATTAGTTTGTTTTGTTAAACTATTTTCAAGTCCATTAGGAGTGTTGGATTTACTGAAAACTTATTTTTATGCTTGGGGCCCAGACACTGAAGAATTTTTCAGGGAAATAAAAAAACATTCGCTACCAACAAAGCCTCCCTTGTCTGCAAAGCGGCGTCAAGGTCTTTTCTCCCACATTTATGTATTTCTTAGTTATGGCTTTTTTATGGCATTTATCACAGGAAATTTTGACCGTTGGCTATTCCATTTTGCCAGAATTTAAAAAGCTAGCTAATCACCATCCAGACCACATTCTTTGTTACTGAGTTTAAGAGGCCAAACGGTGGGACAGTAATTTGGTTTTGAGTGTCCTTGAACAAGCCAGGTGATCTCCATTCTAATGTCTCATTTGTAAGGTGGGAATAGTGACTGCTATGGTGTAGCATGATGGTGAGGATTAAAAGATCCCATGTTCCTAGTAGCAGAGAAGATGCAGCACAGTACACGTTCAAATGCTGGCTGCTGCTTTTTTTTCTTTTATTGTTGTTATTTGCTGTTGTTTTCATAAGGTTAGCTTTTTTTTTCTTTTCTTTTTCGAACGTTTCTCTTAAATTAATCATAAGTAGTTGTATGAAGAGGTTATCAGAAATGCATAAACATTGGAACTCTTAAGACCCAGAAGAGACTAGTTCTGAAAGATCCTAAGGGGAAGAAAGAACATGTATTTGCATTTGTTAAATAGTCAAAAGCTAGAACTCTACTACTTGAGCCATAACTCTACTTCTGGCTTTTAGGTGGTTAACTGGAGATAAGCATCTCAAAGACTTTTCTTGTTCCTTCTAACTTTGAACTGCTATCCTCAGATCTCAGCCTCTGAGTAGCTGGGATTATAGGCCCGAGCCACCAGCACCTGGCTTAATTCTGTTTTTAATCCAGGAGACAAGTAGGCATTGGACCAGGTATGGTCAGGAGGCAGGCAGGAACCTGCCAGGTGAGAAAAAGTTGCTACTGTTCTCTGCCTGATCAGGTACCTGTCAGGTTAGAGAGGGCAGATCCAGTGCAGAGGTCTAGGAGCCCGTTCAAAAGGCTGACTTCTGCTAGGCCACGCCCTCCCCTAACAGGTTTCAGGACTAGATTATTTTAGAAACAACTAATCCATGTTGGCCACATCTCAGACTTAGAGCTAATTAACATTGTGGAGGTCAGCTTGCCCAGATCTATACCTGGAACGTGAGCATCCTAGCCTGCTCCTGTGACTTACCTCTCAGCCTCTCAGAAGACCGTTGGGGTAAAGTGACCAGGCCCTGGGCAGTAGAGCATCAGAAAAAGTTACAGACCGTCAGATCCCAAGTTTTCTTCCTCAGTTCTGAGAGGAATTTTTTCCCCTTTCTGCCTCATTCAGAAACTAGAAAGATGCGTGAAAAGTTAAACTTTGCTGATGTGTCACACTATATAAAATAACACTTTTGTAGACACTGAGATTCTGTAATTCCGAGTTAGGCTGAATCCTTGAAAGTGCTCTACTCATTGGGAAGAGGAAAGAATACAGGAATGGCAGAGAGGAGAACCAGGTTTAAGTAAGTGTACATCCAGAGCTGTTCTCATCATGGATCACACTGACTGTATCTCCTGCCTTTCTATCTGAAGTAATAAGCACATGAGGTTTTGACCAAAGGTATGAAAATCAGCTGACTAAACTCAAGCAATTATTTTTATTATTTTATTTTATTTTACTTCGTTGTGAGGCCTGAACTCTGGGCCTGGGCGCTGTCCCTCAGCTCTTCAGCTCAAGGTTAGAGCTCTACCACTTGAGCCACAGCACCACTTCTGGTTTTCTGGTGGTTTATTGGAGATAAGAGTCTCACAGACTTTCCTGCCCAGGCTGGCTTTGAACCACAATCCTCATATCTCAGCCTCATGAATAGCTAGGATTTCAGGCGTGAGCCACCGACACTTGGCTAATAAATTTGAGTTTTGAGAAATTTTTTTAAAACATTTGCCAGCGTTCCACCTTATAAAGGACATGGATCAGTTTTCTTCCTACTGCCTTCCTCCTTCCACAACTCCTGCTGCTCTGCACTGCCTCTCTACCGGCTATCGAGGACAGAACTGGTGTTCTAGGTATGCCCATGGCTTACACTTGCTTCTGTGTCCTGGGGGTAAAGAGGAGGAATCCACTAGTGACAGGCTGGGTTTGTGGATGGGCAGCCACCCAAGGAAAATTTCTTTCTACCTCATAGGGAAGGCCCCACGAATCAAGTGTATTCTCCTCTATGAACTGGACCTGCTCTCTGACTTGCCTAAGAATTGTCTCTAACCACTTCCTCATCGTGGTTCTTACAGTGGATGCTTCTTGGAATAGCATCTTGCCCTCTCAGGCCTGGAGTGTGATCACATGGTAGAGTGCCTGCCTAGCAAGCACAAGCCCTGCGTTCAAACCACAGTGCCACCAAGAAAACCAGACGACAGCAGCTGAAAGCTTGCTGCCTTCCCCAGTATTTTTGCTAAGAAATGGACCTCTGATATGGGATTCTCCTCTCTTTCCCTCTCTCCCTTCACCTTCCATGTCCCCATCAGACTTTCTGTTCCTTGCTATCCTTCTCTAGGAAATCTTTTAGATTTCCTAGTTTCTATGATTGCACTGGAGAAGCTTGGCAAAGGCTTTATTTGGCTTTTCACAGCCTTAAAATCTATCTTCTTGTTGCATGATTCTGAACATTCATAGGCGGTTGGCTCCATTATCGCCAGAGCACACACAGCCTTAAACTTCACAGGAGGCATCTTTCTTGTCCTGCCTTGTCAGTATTAAACAAGGAAACGCACGTTGTAGAAGGGGCTTACGTGCTTTACGTCAGATGTTGTAGCCAGACAAAAAGAAATTAAGGGGGGGTTGGGGTTATGGGAGGGGATGGGAAGGGGAAACAAAGGAGGAGACAACAATGCTTGATAAGAAATGTATTTGTTATCTTGCCCATGTAATTGTAGCCCCTCTGTACAGTATTTTCACAATAAACACACACACACACACACAAAAGAAATTAAGAATCCTTATTCTAGGGTTTAGAAGGGTGACCGAGGTGGGTAGAGAGCCAAAATCATCAGATACCAAGTTCAAGTCGCAGTCCCTGACAAAAGAAAAAAAAGAAAAATCTTCATTTTAATACATACAGTAGTCTCAATGCTATTAAAATGTTACATGTAATGGGATGATAAATTAGCAGTGAAATATTCTAGATAGTAATAATTGTACCCATACCAGATTCTTTTTTAATAAGTAGATACCAAATGCTAAGGATGCCTGCCAGACATAAGCACTAATACACATCATCTCTTGTGGTTCTGTTACACGGCGTGAGGGAAATGTGGACAAGGATACCTCTTTTTATCTCAGTCAGGGCTAGAAGTGAAATCATAGGAGATTAATACATTTAGAAATCAAAAGCAGCCCTCCTTCAAATGAGCGAATGAGCTGTAGAGCACAGATCTTTAACGAGTACTAAGGAAACAGCGGAGACGAGAAGTATACAAATGTTCCAGCCTACTCTCATCTCCTGGTTGACAGTCATTAGTCTCGACTGCCCTTCTGCCCTCCACTGCAGCTCATAGCCCTGGCTGCCTGCTTGCTTTCTACTTGTTTCTACTCCATTTGGCTAATATCTACAAAAACCAAATGAGATTATGTATAATATAGTTAACTTTGGCAAACTCCCCTATCACTGAATTTGGTGATCTGAGGACCACGGTGATAGCAGCTGACTCCTATTTCTTGTATCTTGGCACACCTTTGCCAATTTTAAATGGTGTTTCTTCTCTTGCGCTCACTTCTTGGTTGTCTTTGTTTATCTTTTCTTCTATAGCGTCTTGCCAGAACTGGGATCATAGTGACTACAAGTGAGGCTGTTCTGCTACAGCTGGTGGCTGACAAAGATCATCCAAAATTCAAGGAAATTCAGAATCTGATTAAGGCAAGTGCTCCAGAGTCTGGTCTGCTTTCCAAAGTATAGGAGGACATTGGAAGGATGGGCAACAGGACTAAGCCCAGACAAGCTCTGTCTCTACTAGAATTAAAATGTTACGTCAAAAATGGCTCCTTTTTTTGCAGCTCTCTAGTAATACTTTCCCGGCTAGATCATGTGGGTACCAGCGTTTAGTTACCAGTGTCAGAAGCTTCAGGTGCTGCTTACCTTCTTTTTTTTCTTAATGGGCTTTTATTTATTAAAACAATTAATTGGAGGTGCCTGTTTTGTCTATACCGTACACACTGACCGTACCCTTCGAAAGTGCACAGTCTGGTGAAGTTTTCTAAAATTGTGCACTTCAAAGAAGAATAGATCTACTAATAATGATTTGACTTTTATATCACTGTAAGATGTATGTTAGTATTAATATAGACTCAGTGCTTGAATTTACAGGTTAAGAGCATTGTACAGGAAATAGGAACAGGACGATGGGCCGTGTTCCTACTTGTCTCAAAATGTTGTTGAGTTACGTATTCAGTGAGTTGCATTGATCTAACTATATCAAATCATGTTAAATAATTACATATCTTTCTTGATTATACTGATTTTCTTACTCTGGTCAGCATCTCTAACTACTACTAGTTTTTTAGCTGGCTTTCTTTAACCTAGAAAAATTCATTAAGTTGTGCTTATTTTATTTTTATTATCTTTAAGTAGTTCTGAAAAGAGATTTCAATTCAACATATAAATTCATAAGTACAGTGCCACCCCTTTCCATTGCTTATTAATTCTTTTAAAAGATTATGGAAATGTCATGCTGTGTGGCTCCTCCCTTGGTGGAGAACTGTAGCTGAATGTCTTTACAGTAATTTGGAGTACGTCTGTTATAGATAGCACAAGATTTAGCAGCGACATGGGTGAAACATGTAGTTTCAAAATGTTCATATTCCGTTCCATATTTCTCCAATTTACTCTTGAAATTATTGTCAGTGCAACAGGCATCAGGAATGATTTGGTAGTACTAATTTTGTGGTCATTGTTACTCGTCAATAAATTTATTTTCATTAATACTTACGAGTGTTTAAAAACTTTTTTTAAATACTGTGTGAAATGTGGAACATTTCTGTCTTTTATATTAAAGTAATTAAAGATGAAGAAAATATATTGTGTGAATGAAATTATTTTGTCTCCCTACAAAGTGGATTTATGAGTTAGTAGTACAGGGATTCTCATACATATTCACAGGTAATAAAAATTTGACATTTACACTTTTAACTCATGGGAATTAACAAAGAAGGAAACTTTTGCAGGTAGAGACCAATGGATTTTGGTGACTAGCTTGTGGAAAAGCGTATAAATATGGTGGGTTTTTGTCTTTTGTCTATGGTAACTAACAGCAGCCTTTTTTTCTCTTTCTTGGTATGGTAAATAGCTTTTCCAGACACGTAGCAGAATCAGGAGTTTCTTCACATCCTAAAAATCATCTTTAATAAATTTAATCTAATGGCTCCCAAACTTTTATATCAGTGCACGTTATCTGGGGATCTTGTTAAGACAATACATTAAAATAAGGAAAAGAAAAAGGCAGCTGCCCCCAGAGCTGCTCAGAGGGACCTCCTTAGAGAAGCGTTTACCCCGTGGGCAGCAGCTTCCCTCCCTGGCTCCCAGGCCTTTCTCGTGTCAGTGAAATACCATGGCCATGAGCCCTTCTCACAGCTGAAACCAATTCTGCGCCCCTGAATTAGTTTCCTATGACAGCTGTAACAAATTACCACAAACTGTGTCTGAAAGCAACAGTCTGTATTCTCTGAAATGGGGCTCACTTGGCTGAAATCAGGCCTTGTGTTGGTAAGGCTGTCTTGTTTTCTGGAGCCTGTTGAGGAGGCTCTGTGTCCTGCCATTTTGCTAGAATCTGCTTTCAAGTTTGGGCTTATCCGGCCCCCTGATGCCAGCTTCTCAAGCAACAAAACTGCACCCAGTCCTTCCTAGTCCTGCCTGTCTTCTCCTCTTCCCACCCAGCTTCCTGGCCCCATAGCCAGGTCTACTGAGAGCAATCTATTTCATCTGCAATCTCCATTTTCTTTGGTCCGTGCAGCACATCCACAGGCTCAGGGATTAGGACGTGGATCTCTTCTAGGCCATTTTATATAGCGAACTTTGTTGTGTGACTTCAAATATTATTTCATTCTGTTATTTTTCTTATTTCCATTTTTCCTACTTACCTCTGAAACGAAGAGGCCTCTGCATTATTCATTGAGAAATTACTTGTACCTCCTCAGTTTTAAATGTGCTAGGGATAGAAAGTTCCCCTATAAGCTTAATGTGGTGAAAAATCAGTATATAACCTTTCTATAAATGTGAACTGCATTAAGTTTATGTTAAAACTGCAGTGATTTTAATACATTGAAAGTTCATTGTTGTTGTAACTTGTCTTTTTTGTAGATAATGCCAAAAAGATGACACGACATTATTAGAAGAAAAACAGAATTGATTTTTGTACACTATTAGACCTGGATATCTAAGACATCCATAACTTGGTAGGATAATGAAAATCTTTTCATTGAGGCAAATAGAAAACTCAACAACATAAGCAAAAGAAGAGGAAAGTATATTCAGTGGCATGACACTTAGAAGCAGGAATGAGGAGCTTTCGAACATGCTCAAACATCTGTGAAAATAATCTAACATTGAAAGTGATACTCACCCCAACAAAGCACTTGAATACTCTTTTGTATCCATTAAAGCATTCTATTTCTCTAAGTGGAATATTTCCTCTTTTTTTAAGAGTTGATCGTTAGAGCAGAGTAGACTGGCACAGATTTTAGTTCTAAAATGTCTGGCTTCATTTTACAGACATGGACAGTGGGACCCAGAGATAAGCTATGTTTCCAAGGTTTACAGAAGATCAAAACAGGTGATTTAACTCTGCTCCTATAATTTCTCCTAGAAATTAACTGAAAGGGAAGCACAATAAAATTGCACAGAAAGGGATACATATTAAATCCTCCCTAACGGTAATCTTTTGATTAACAAAGCTACTGGGATATACCATTGTTGCCTGGCCATGGTCTTTATAATCATTTCTTTCTGGATATTTTCTCTAAAGCACATCTTTCTAACTCACTTTGGGGAATAACTGACAGTATAAAAATAATCATTTTCACTATCAAATAACTATACATCAAGTTTCCTCTGTCATTAAAGGGTTAGTGCTTCATTAATTCTATATGAAACTTTGTTGTTCGCTGTTCCACTCTTAATTTTTTAAGTCATGAAGCGGTGGCTCACATTTGTAATCCTAGCTACTCAGAGAGCTGAGCTCTAAGGAAACTGGAAGTGGCTCTGTGGCTCAAAGTGGAAGAGCACTAGCCTTGACCTGAAGAGTTCAGGGACAGCGCCCAGGCCCAGAGTTCAAGCCCCATGTCTGACAATAAATAAATAAAAATCACGAAGCTGATTTTAATGAGATATATGAATTACTTAAGTATATGATAGAGATGAAGTTTTAGATTTCTAGGAATTGACTTTTAGACTTTATAATTAGAAATGAGCATGTTGTGTGTCTATATTTACTTACTATGGCTGAATAGCAGCCATCTTAGGAAGAACATCCTTTTAGAAGAAATTTGCTAAGATTATAGCTCAAAAGTTCTTAGCACAGAAGCAAGTATATCAGATGATGACTGTGCTAATTCACTTCAGGGTTTAATTATTTCACAATATATACTTCTGTTGGAGTATTAAACATATTCAGTCTTTACCTGTCCATTACATCTTCGTGCTGGAACACATCAGCATTTCATTCAGCATTCATATGCTTAAAGCTTTTTGACTTATATAAAGAATATTCATTTCTATTGAAGAGATGATCTTGTTTTGCTTGCTGCACAACACAGCTCTGAAATGCCACTGAGATTCCCACTTCCTGGTGTACATACACCTTCTCTGAGTTATGCAATCACTAATCTAGACTCCTAGGTAGGCTGTGAAGCCTTTTACGGAGATAATTAAGGTCTCACAGTAGTCCAAATAGGGAGACTAGCTTGGGCCTTAACCTAATCAAGTTAGCTTTTAAAAGGGGCTGGGATCTACCTGGCAGAAGAGCCAGTGTCAGGAGCATTCTGCTGTGAGAGAGGTAGTTGCTGAAGGAAAACGAGTGTGACCACACAGGCAAAATGGCCTTGGAAGGAGGCTGCTCAGTGTGCATACCATACTCTGACAGCCTGCAGGGAAGCAGGCACCTATGCTGTGTAGGTGTAAAATAGTTAGCAAGCACCCTGAAGGATTCCCCTCAGAGACTCTCAGTAGGAACAAAATAGCTGACACCTTGATTGCCTCTTAAGACTGGAGCCAGGACTCTGGTCACATCATCAACAGCTGACTTTCAGAACCATGAGGTAAGAACTTTGTGTTTTAAACTGTTCTGTGACATTTGTGAAGTAGTACTAGAAAACTAATAGACTCTTTTGAGGCTTGTTGGTTGTTGGTTTCTTTTTTGTAATTTAGCAATCATTTTGCTTGGAGATAGCTGTTTTATTAAACACAGATGACTTCAGGTGGATATTACTGGGCCCCAGAGTTGGTAACAAAATATTTTCCCCAGTATTACCATCCACTTTGAAATTACTTTTTATTGGAGAACTGGACTTGACACATTTTATAATTTTAATAGTATAACGGTACATCTGTAGTTAAAAGAGCAGGGAATGCCCACTTTTTTTTTTTTTTCACCTTGGTTTTCTTTGGGACAAGAAACCAAACGACCTTTCTTTTCTGCATAACTCCCTACCGTGCCTCTAAATGATGTGCCTGTAGAAGGATTGATTTGGAGTGTGTTCTCCCTGGAAGGTGAGGGTTCAGAATACTGTCATTTTGTTCCATCCTCTGCTTTGCAGCTCGTCCTTCCATAGTTAGCAGTCGTATTTTTTGCTTTTCCTGAGAGTTACTAGGCAGAACCCGTCCCTTATTCTTTGTAGATCATTGGTGGTCACTGAGGTCTAAAGCTTCAGTTCCCAAGCTGGATTCCTTGCCGCTATCTTCTAGGTCTGGATTTCATACTCGTCCTCAAGTCCTGGAACCTAGGGACAGGGAACTGTTAGCACAGGTGAATCCTGGCTCCAAAGCAATAAAAGGCAGAAACTGTCTCCAGGAAGAGGAACACAGTGAACAGCTAAGCTGTGCAAAACCAAAATTCTGTATAAATAAACTCTATCCCTGCCTGCCAAGGCTGCTGATAGCAGAAGACACAGCTAGCTATAGTCATTTCAGCACTCTTCAGGCTAACAACTAAGTTTGTAATCTACATGTGTATTTATGGTCTTTATTCCCACGTGTCTGTCTTCCACAGGTTTCTGGTTACAGATGCGTTGTAATAGTTATAAGTCAGCCCCCTTGGCTCCCATTTTCATAACTCACTCTGCTCCTTCTTACGCATTAAACGCTTATCTTTTTCTCAGCCATATTTAAACTTGGGAAGACTTAAGAGTTGTCTTCTGCGCCAGTTGGGAGCTAAGGGTGCCAGGCTGTGCTAGGTCATCTGGCCTGGGACCAGGATGACATCGGAAGCATAGATCCTCTCATAGGCTCACCTACATTAGCAGGAGGCTCCTCTAATCCTCTCTGCCTAAGTGCCTGTTAGAAACTGTTGGGAATGTAACAGGAGACAGCGAGAGAAGGAGGAACAAGAAGGGAGAGGTGATCATTGCAAGAAAGTGGGAAGTCTTGAGTCTTCAGGGCAGGTCTTTGGGAAGGGCAGGCTGCAATTCTGATAGTAGTTGAGACTGGTGTCAGTAAGTAGAATTTCTTCTAGAGAACCTCAGTTCTACTGGGTTTTTTTTTTGTTTGTTTTTGCACCTGATTGAATCAGACCCACCTAGATTATCAAAGATCATCATCATTATTTTAAATCGTCTGGTTATAAACTTTTGTCACATCCACAAAATACCTTTACAGTAACACCTGGATTAGTATTTGAATGACTGGGATTTAGAGCTGAGCTGAGGGAACAGATAAAGCTGACCCTCAAAGGAATTACTCAACAGCAACCTCTGCCTCAGAGATTATTGTCTTAGACTCTTTGAGCTGCTAGAACAAAGTACTATAAACTGGGTGGCTTATACACAGCAGAAATGTATTGCTTACAATACTGGGTGCTAGAAAGTC